AGATTCAGACTAGATACAAGAAAGAACTTTTTTATGATGAGGGCTGTGAAACACTGGCACAGGTTGCACAGAGAAGTGTGGTAGAAGTCTCATCCCTGAAAACATACCAAGTCAGAATGGATGAGACTCTGTGCAGTATGATCTAGTTGAAAATACTCCTTATTACTGCATGGGAGTTGGAGGAGATGACTTGTAATGGTCCTTTCCAACACAAACCATTCTATTATTCTCATTATTGTCCAAGTAAAATCAAATTTGGGAGCCTAAAGAATTCTTTTTCCTTTTATCATATATACTGGCAGTTGAAGAAAAACAGCACAAGTACACAGTCTCCTAGGCAAGCAAAGGTTCTATATCAGCAAGATAAAAAAAAACAACTTTAAATCACAAATCTGATGTATGATGACCCACCTCATTGATCATTTCTATTTCTCTAAAGGTCAGTCTGTCCAGCCAGTCTACTTTCACCATGTGACCTTGTCGATGAGACTTGGTGAGCTGCATGAAAAAAACACAATGATAACATTTAAATTGCTCAGAGCAAGAAAAAGAATATCAAAGCTATAATTTAACAGAGACATTGACGCGAAGTCATAGGAAGAAAACAAACTGGAAAAAATGCTTGTATATTACATACACCATAGATGATGGTAAACAGCTAAGCCATGCCATAAAAACAATTCTAGTCTCTAAAACACTGACCACTGCAAAGACTAAAACGGCACTCTGACCACATTATCTTCTGAATTTTTAACACATTAAAAACAGGAAACTATTTTTAAAGCCAAGTGATGTAATAAAATTATTTATTCTTTTGTGTTTCTAAGTTATACTGTGAAACTTACTAAGACAAATTTAAAAAAAGGTATTTAAAAAACTATTCCAAATTGAGTAATTCTGTCCTTGTTAGTCTTACTTAAAAAAGTTTTCAGACTTGGATTTACACATCACAAGAAGTCAGCTGAAGACCTATAGCAAGTCCTAGGGAGTTTGTTCTCCCTTTCTTTTTAGTCATCTGAAAAGTATTTCCAGTTTTACTCCTACGTCTATATATTGCTGTAAAAATAGCAAGGAAGTTGAGGTGCTTAAAGGACTACCTAACAGTAGAAGAGTGGAAAAGAAGATAAGTAAGATGAGCCCTACTACCTGTACTTTCAGATGCACTGACACACAATTATTTATAAAAATTCAGCAGACCACACAAATACAAACAAGAATTATGTTTTCAGCTCCTAAGAAATCATAACTGTTCCTCAAAAAAAAAATAATTATTGCAGTATTCAAGAAGAGACGCAAAGGAACTAGAAGGCATTGGGTCATTTAATGTTTCAAAGAAAATCAGTATCTGTCTAGAAAATGGCAGGTGAAGAGACCCTCAAAATTACCCCTATTACTACTGTATCAGCTTTGTTCTGTGGTAAACCAGCCCACCAAGGAGGATTGACACTTGAAAAAGCTATACAAACACACTAACTGCCATTTCTTGCCCAGCTGACAGCTAGGGGCAGGGAACACACACAGAGTACTTAGTGTATGAACAAAACATGTTGTATGTAGGAGAATACAGGATACACAACAGCCTGCTTCTTCCATGTGGAGCTGTACATGAGGTCACTACTAAAAAAGATGGGAGAAAACTTAAGACTTACTACATGCTGAGAGTTGTGGAGATTGCAAAGTTTAGGTTTGTTGGATGCCTGCACTAGATTTTCAGAGCTCAACACTATAGAGGTATTAGAAAAAAATAAAGCACTGCGAAGAAAAAAAAAGCTAAAGCGTTCACATCAGTAAAACTGTTTCATTATTCTCACTAAAACTCCCATGTCTTAGCAGTCAGGGACAAGTATAACTGCACAACAAGGGACAGCTGGGGGTAAACACAAACCCCATCACCATCTACTCTGGAGAGAGCATCAGCTTCATAGTCAGGTCCTGACCCTGACATTACAAACTCAGAAGATTCCAAGTTTCAGAAATCATGCAGAATCCAATAGCTCTTTACAAGCAATGCTGACATAATGGGCAAATAATTGTCTATTCCCGAAAAGCCTGTAAACAGCCATTAAAACCACTAATGAAATGAAATGCCAGTATTCTGCAGCCTCCCTGCAGGTGCTCTTGGATCAGTGGAACTGATCAAAGATCAGTCAGTCAGCAGTTATCCTTGCATTTTAAGACCTTGATCAGATGTCACTTTGTATTATAGAATGGTTAAAGTCAGAAGGGACCTTCAGGATCACCAGATTCCAGCCTTCCTGCTTTGAGCAAGAACTCCAACAGACCATCTTGCTTGTTCACTTTCCACTTTTTTGCTGTTTAAATCACAATCACTGGGGTTATTTTTATCTTATTCACCTGCCCAGAGTTTAATTCGGTTTTTATGGCCTAACAACATTTTGGATACCAGTTCCTACCTCTCAGCAGGCAACAGAATTTAACAATGAATGTATTTGTCTCAGAAACAGCTCATGTCAGAAAGTTTGAATACACTACAGCTCACGCTGCACACCATATCTGTAGGCAAATACACATGAAGAACCATTTTCTTAGATTAATATTTAAAGCTTAAAGTAAGTGAGCAGCTACTGCATTCACTTAAGGTAAAGAAGCATGCACCATCTGCTACTAAGAGGCTTCCCTTTACATACTATCCCCATCGTTACCTCCTTTCCTTTAGCCAGCAAGTGTGAGACTAGTGATAGGATAAGGGGCAATGGGTGCAAACTGGAGCACAGGAGGCTTCATGTAAACATCAGAAAAAAAATCTTTACTGTCAGAGTGATAGAGCACTGGAACAGGCTGCCCAGAAAGGTTGCGGAGTCTTCTCCTGTGGAGACTTTCAAGGCCCATCTGGACACATTCCTGTGTGATGTGCTCAGGGTGATCCTGCTCTGGCAGAGGGGTTGGATTAGATGATATTTTGAGGTCCCTTCCAACCCCTAGGATTCTGTGATGGTAATGAATGGATCGAAAGACCTTTGAAATACTTTTTGTTTTACTAGAATAAATTAACATACCACTCATGGGAAAAATACCTTAAGGTCACCAATATTTGAGCATGCTAAGGTATTCCACAATCTCTCCATTAACATTCGTCAGTACAGGAAAAAAATCTGCATTCAAAATCACCCCCAGGATGCAAACCCATGGCTTCATTAACAGCAATTTTATAGGCAACACTCACATGTTTTGTAAAAGCACAATCAGATGATGCCTCGACATGAAAGGAGAGACTTGCCATGGAATCAGTTATTTAATGTGAAAGGATGCAACTCATCCAGCAACCAGTCACTGATTTTATGGAAATTCCCTACAAAGTCAGAAGGGACCTTCAGGATCACCAGATTCCAGCCTTCCTGCTTTGAGCAAGAACTCCAACAGACCATCTTGCTTGTTCACTTTCCACTTTTTTGCTGTTTAAATCACAATCACTGGGGTTATTTTTATCTTATTCACCTGCCCAGAGTTTAATTCGGTTTTTATGGCCTAACAACATTTTGGATACCAGTTCCTACCTCTCAGCAGGCAACAGAATTTAACAATGAATGTATTTGTCTCAGAAACAGCTCATGTCAGAAAGTTTGAATACACTACAGCTCACGCTGCACACCATATCTGTAGGCAAATACACATGAAGAACCATTTTCTTAGATTAATATTTAAAGCTTAAAGTAAGTGAGCAGCTACTGCATTCACTTAAGGTAAAGAAGCATGCACCATCTGCTACTAAGAGGCTTCCCTTTACATACTATCCCCATCGTTACCTCCTTTCCTTTAGCCAGCAAGTGTGAGACTAGTGATAGGATAAGGGGCAATGGGTGCAAACTGGAGCACAGGAGGCTTCATGTAAACATCAGAAAAAAAATCTTTACTGTCAGAGTGATAGAGCACTGGAACAGGCTGCCCAGAAAGGTTGCGGAGTCTTCTCCTGTGGAGACTTTCAAGGCCCATCTGGACACATTCCTGTGTGATGTGCTCAGGGTGATCCTGCTCTGGCAGAGGGGTTGGATTAGATGATATTTTGAGGTCCCTTCCAACCCCTAGGATTCTGTGATGGTAATGAATGGATCGAAAGACCTTTGAAATACTTTTTGTTTTACTAGAATAAATTAACATACCACTCATGGGAAAAATACCTTAAGGTCACCAATATTTGAGCATGCTAAGGTATTCCACAATCTCTCCATTAACATTCGTCAGTACAGGAAAAAAATCTGCATTCAAAATCACCCCCAGGATGCAAACCCATGGCTTCATTAACAGCAATTTTATAGGCAACACTCACATGTTTTGTAAAAGCACAATCAGATGATGCCTCGACATGAAAGGAGAGACTTGCCATGGAATCAGTTATTTAATGTGAAAGGAT